ATAATAATAATAAAAGAAAGAAGAGAGAGGAAAGAGGAAAATAATTAAAAAAAATTGTGGGACCCACATTCATTTTTAAAAACCACCGTTCTCTTTTCATTTTTTCTTCATTTTTCTTCTCTTTCGTGTGCGATCAGAGAGAGCGTCTGAGCCAAGTTCACCGGTGCTGGGTTTTAAGGTAAGAGTTTTTAATAGGATATTTAGGGTGTGATTTTAAGCTTTTCAAGACTAAGTAAGTGTTCTAAAAATTTTTCTTAGTCATCCTTCTTCTTTGGTTTCTGAGTTTGTAGTGGTAGAAAATTTAAGATCTGGAAGAGGGATAAATTTATGTTGAATAAATATGATTTTTGAGGTTGTCAGTAGTATAATAAATGTTCTAGAGTATAAATTTGTTGATGATCTTTGAATTTGTGGCTTATGGATCAAATTCTAAACTAGATCTGAAAATATATGTTGATTTATTGAGGTTTAGATGATTATTTGGGATGAGAAATGAATTATTATGGTAATAGGATTATGATTCTAAGCTAGAGACTCAATTTTTAATTTTTGGGTATTTTAGGTACGAATTTATGAAATAAAAAGAAAATTTTGATAATAGAAATTAGTTTAGAAGTTGATTTTTAGATTATTAATGTTTATTGATAATTAAAAGAGGAGTTAAAAAAAAATTTACTTAATAGTATTAACTCTAGATTTGTATTAAGATTGAGATTAGGAATTATGTTATATTTTTAATTCTATTATTAGAATTATTTTATTAGTTTCAAAAATTGAAACTAATATTTATAAATAATATGTTATTTGTAGATTGTATTACTGGTGAAGATTGTGGTGAGAGAGAAATTTTAAGGAATAATTTATTGAAAAAGCCACAAGGTAACCATGCTTTTAATTTGTGATTAGTGTTACTTCATGTTAATTGGGTGATTATTGAGAAAATTGTGAATTTTGTAATATTGTATAATTGTGCAATATTATTATGAATTTGTTTAATTATTGTTAGAGGTGTTGGGAGACTTGCTATTATTGTTGTATTTATGTGCCACGTGGTACGCCCCTATTGGAGCTCAATAGGTGGCTTGTAAGGGCTCGGGCTAATCTACCTTTGGCCAGGTAATTTAGCACCGAGTGAGGGCTACGGCTCAAGGTTAATGGAGGGATATAAGGATGGTTGTTTGTGTGTATTGTAATATTTCTTATATTTGTTGGAATTATATTATTTTTAATTCTCACTTAGTAAGCACACACTTAACTGTTTGTATACACTATCATAAATTGGCTTTGGTTACTGGGACTTTTGAGTCTCATTATGTGGTTAACAATTTTTAAGAGAAGAGCCACAAGTGACACGTGGAGGAGTCCCAGAGGCTTAGTGGTATCGATCCACTGTCTCTGTTGGGTATTTAATTTATGATTTATAATGTGTTATATTGCCAATATTAGGGCTTTTTGTTTATTGACAATTATATGAATATATAAATGTAATCATGCCTTTCAAACTATTTCTATTTTTGGTACAATTTGGATGACTGTAATTTTAATATTTGGTTTACTTTGGATTGGTTAAAATGGCATGATTATAAGGTCAAATAACTGGCTTGTGTTGAAAATTGACTAAATTGCTTATTTTACTTGTTGGGAGTATAAGGATGGACAAATATGATTTAGTTTACTTGTTGGGAGTATAAGGATGGACAAATGTGATTTAGCCTAATGGCATGTGGGAGGTAAAAATTTATCTGAAATGTTATATTGTGTGAGTTGAAGCCAATTATAAAATATTTTATATTGAAATTATTGATATAAAAATGTGTTGGGTGGCTGTAACCCAACTATGATTAAGTTAAATTATTTTTTAAAAAAAATTTTGGTGTGTTACAGGGAGAATTATACTGATAATACTTCCAATAATATTTTAATTCTTCAAGGAATTGCTGTCGTGAGCTATTTGCAAGTTGTGTCTGCTCTTGTGTTTGATTTCTGGATTCTAATAGGGTTTTTCTTGCTTCCACAATAGCCTGAGCTATTTGCTAATTTTTAGAGTTTTAGACAGAAATGTTCAAATAAATGGAGTCAAGCACGGCAGTTCTTTCAATCATGTTCTCTCCACTTAAGGTTTCCTATAACCATTCAACCATTCGTCAAGAAGTCTGCCTCAAGTCTCTTCCTTGAAATTTAGTAATGAAGGCAAGTGGCTACTTTTCTACTAATTTAAGTGTTTAACATTTTAAAGTGCTTTTTTTTTTTAAGCTGTTAACTTCAAGAAAAATGGCAAGTCCTATAGCCGATAGCTGATATTGAATTCCAAGCTATAATTTATTGGTTCTCAGGCAAGGTGGCTACAGTCATCCCCTCCTAATGCTGCTGCTCGCAACAAAAGTGCAGTGCAAGATGATTTTGTTTGTCAAGGGTTATCATATTCTCTTATCTCTGTAGTTGCTTCAGTTCATGATCAGACTCATGTTTTCTAGGTATTGTCTTAATTTATTTATTTATTTTATCTATGTTTTTCACTTATATTTATCCCCCCAATGTATTGCTTTCAGAATTAGAGAAACTAGATTTTGTTTTTTTTTTTTTTTGGATTTTGAACTCATTCTCCCAACAAGAATGTTGTAGGATTATAATTAGAAAAGCATGCTATTATTTCCTCCCCCATTTTTTTTCTTCTTTACCTCTTCTTTAAATATACATTTGTGCTGCTTTTTCTTCCCTTAGGTTTTTACGTAGATTACTTAATTAATTATCAATATTAATTAATTTTCTTTATATCCTCCACTTGTGTTTCTATTCTTTCCACACGTGTTGCTAGCTTGATCCTACATTGTGAGGCGTATACGTCCTTGCGGTAAATACATGGAGCCATGCGAGTAAATCTTATGCGTCCAAAAAATTACTCTCTGTGTCAAGAATATAAAGTATTTTTTAATGTAAGCTATTAAAAAATAATCCCTCTGATTCTATTTAAAAAATAGGGAGAGAATATTTTATTTTGGTCCTATTTATAAGTTATATCAATAAATTTTTATCATAATTTTTTTACCCTCTATTGAATTTTGAAGAGAAAAAATGTATTGTTAAAGTATTTATATTTAACAAAGATAAAATTAAAAATTTATTAAATTTTTAAACAAAGTTAATAAATTTTTAGGTTTCTCTTGATGTTGATAAAATATGCTAGAAGTGATTTATAAATGAGATTAGAAAAGTATATGATATTTTAACTTTTTTAATGTGTAATTAATGATTTTTTTTTATAAATACTTTTTGTGAAGTTGTAATTAACAAGGTTTTTCAATGGAGACATCCTATTAAATAAAAATAAATTTAAAAAGTGTATAATTTTAAAGATAATTAAAAATTTCATTAAAATATAATTTAGTTAAAATATCTTATAATATTAAATCAATGGTGTAAAAGAAATGTTCATAAAGGGACACAATCCATGATGATAGAAAATCTAATAATTCATTGCATCATTTTCGTCTCAATATTTGAGACTTTCAGCAGTGACTTGAAATCTTTTAACGCAACTGTATCCAAAAAATATTCTCAAAACAATCTGTTAAAAGTATTAATAAAAAAATTAACTTTTTCAAAACAAAATATTTGTAAAAATTATAGAAAATTTGATTTAACATTTTTGATTAAAAAATTAATTTAATACTATATTCACATTTTTATTAATTTTTTATAGAAATTTTATATGTATAAAAAATATTTAGAAGATATGATTTAATAATATAAATTTTGAGTTATAAAAATTATGTACTCCTTCTATTTAAAAATATAAGATATTTTTAATTGAGTCTCACTCTTCAATAAAGTAGTTATCTACTTTTCAATTGACATTATCTTTTTATATTTACCCCTATTAGACACCTTATAATAAATATGAAGTCATTATCAATAAGGCTCTTTTAAAAAAAAGTAATGATTAAATCTCAAAAGGCTAAACATACTTTATATTTTTTAATATCTAACTTCTCAAAAAATGCCTTACATTTTTTAATGGAGGGAGTAATTAATTATAAAGTTATTATAATATTTTAATAAAAAATATAAACATTTTTAATTTTATTTTTTAAAATAAAAATTCAAGAATTTTAGCTTTAAGTGATTAAGAAATATAATAGTTCAAATTATAAAGGCTTGATTAAAATAAAATAAATTATATAAGTCTATTCAAAATTAAGAGAAATGATAAGAATTTTCTAATCAATTTTTCTTAAAAATAAAAAAAATAAAATATCAAGTATTTGAGCTTAGTCTAAATCCAATTTGGCTTGCCTCAAATTGTTTTAGGCCTGTTTGGTGGTTATAAAAAAATTCAATTTCCTGAAACCTAATCTTAGAGTTTGTTTGATTTCTATGTTTTTAAAATTTTTTTGTTTTTAAAAATAAAAATTTATTTTGATAAAATATTTGGAATTTAATTTTTTTTAAATTTTTTATTTTTAAAAACTGTTTTCATTTTTTTTAAATTATTAAAAATTACCAATGATTATCATAAGTCACCACTGTTAATAATCAATAATCATTACTATTCATTGATTTTTTAATTTTAAAACTGATTTGAAATTAATACAACCAACTATATTTTTTATTTTATTTTAAAAAAAAATTAAAAATTATATTACAAAATATTTGTTAAGAAATGAAAATAAAAATCAAACATTTTGAAGTTGTTCTTATTCAATCGAATTACAGAAAAAAAAAAAGATAAAGTAACTTTTAATCCCTTATTTTAGGGTTCTATTGATTTGATCCCTTAATTTTAATTTTTATTACTTTAATCCTTAATATTTTATAAATTTATCTAAATAATCCTTTATCTATAAAAGAAATTAATACCGTTGAACTATGCTGATATATGACTAACAGAAAATAGATATGGCAGCCATGCAGATTAACATGAGAAGTAAAGTAAGTGTGTTGCCCAGGATTAAAAAAAAAAAAACATTTTTAGGATAATTAAAAAAGAGTAAATGCTGCATCGCATGGTGGGCAAAGATGAAGAAGAGCAACTGCACAAACACTTCATCTTCGCCGTCATCGGTCTTCACTGGTGACTCATCTGCTCCAGCCTCCGTCCATCTTTACATTCTCATTTTGGATAACTGATTGTCGCTTTTCATTGGTGACTCGCCTGCTCCAGCCTCTATCTGTCTTGGCGTGCTTGTTTTGGGTAAGTGACTCTTCCCGCCATCACTCTTCATCGGTGACTTGTCTTCTCCACACAATATTTAGCTTCATCCTTGAATTTGATTCTTTCTCACTATTTCGCTCTTCACTGTATTGTTTGATTTGATTCCTAAAGCAGAGACGGGCTATAATAATAAGTCGTGGGGTATTTGCAAGCTGCGTCTGCCCTTGTGTTTGATTTCTGGATTCTAATTGGGTTCTTCTTGCTTCCGCAATAGCCTGAGCTATTTGCTTTTTTTTAGAGGTTTAGAAGAAAAGTTCAAATAAATGGAGTTAAGTACGGTTCTTCAATCATGTTGTTCTCTCCAATTAAGGTTTCCTATAACCATTCGACCATCATCGTCAAGAAGTCCGCCTCAGATCGCTTGCTTGAAGTTTAGTAATAAAGGCAAGTGGCTACTTTTTTACCAATTCAAGTGTTTAACTTCTTAAAGCGTTTTTTTTTTTTTTTGGGTTCTTTAAGCCGTTAACTTGGAGTAAAATTGGCAAGTCCTATAATTGATAGCTGATATTGAATTCCAGGCTGTAATTTATTGGGTAAACAGGCAAGATGGCTGCAGTCATCCCCTACTAATGCTGATGTTGGTGACAAAAGTGCAGTGCGACATGATTTTGTTTGTCAAGGTTTATCATCTTCTCATACTTCTGAAGCTGCTTCAGTTCATGATGAACCTAAAAAAAGTAGTGAGGAAAGGGATGATGGTGATAGTGATGGTGCTCGGTGCTTGGATGACAGTCGAATGGTTAGAGTTTGTGACAAGCTTATTGATGTTTTCATCGTTGACAAGCCAACTCCAACTGATTGGAGAAGGTTGTTAGCTTTCAGCAAGGAATGGAACAATATTAGGCCCCATTTTTTTGCACGTTGTCAAGATAGAGCTGATGATGAGAAAGATCCAGTGATGAAGCAGAAGTTGCTTCGACTTGGAAGGAAGCTTAAAGAGGTTTGTCATAGAATTCTGCGTTCTCACTCTCTCAACTCAATATGACTTGTTTTGTTGTGTATCTGAATATGATTGTAATGACTAATGAGATTATAAGTCAGCTTAAATACTACAATGTTAATCTTCCGTTTTCTTTCCATTTTGCTTGAATGTGAAATAGATTGTTGTTCATGTATTTCACAGTGCAAGTTTATCGTTTGCTTCATTAGTTGGACAAGGAGATAATTGTAAATAACTTAATATGGTTTTTCTTGGCTTCTTTGATATTTTATGTATCAAGTATTGTGCCAAGAATCTAATATTTGAGTGCTGTTACATTCCATTTATTCATTACGTTCCTTTTGCAGATTGATGAAGATGTACAGAGGCACAATGAACTTCTTCAAGTGATCAGAGAATCGTCAACAGAAATTACAGAAATTATCTCCCGTCGTCGTAAAGACTTCACAAAAGAATTTTTTGTACACCTTCACACTGTAGCAGAATCCTATTATGACAACCCAAAAGAGCAAAATGGTGAGACTTACATACTTACATGCTTCTAATGTGAGTCAACGTTGCTTCTTCTAACATCTAGGTTTAAGTTCTAATATCCATATATCACTTGGTTGGCTTGCGTGGGAAATTATCCAACCTCACCCGAGTGTCAAAATTATCCATATACCAGATAGTGGTGCTATTTTGTGCTCAGATAAAACTTTGGTGAAAAATCACATCCATTGAAACTAAGATGTTAAATTTTTGGGAGAGTGAATAGCACAGCTGTAGCTTAAGTTTAATATGACCATAATTTAGGGTTCATGAAGATATATTATTACCCAGGTTATCCTGGGTGGAATTTTGATTTCTCCATTTATGAGTGTGCAAGAAAAACCAGAGTCTTGATGATTGTGGTGACATCCAACACTTCTGTGCAGTACTCCTAGTGAGAATATCAATTTTAATATTTGATGCCCTTTAGATTCATGCATATTGTAGGTATTTGTTTCATATTATTTTCCTTGTTCATTGTGTGACTAGAGTTGGCAAAGCTTGCGAACGCTTGCTTGGCCGCGGTGCAAGCGTATGATGCGGCAACTGATAGCATGGAAGCATTAAATGCTGCAGAGTTGAAATTCCAGGATATCATTAATTCTCCTTCTCTGGATGCTGCCTGCAAAAAGATAGACACTCTTGCTGAGAAAAAAGAACTAGATTCAGCATTGGTATTGATGATCACAAAAGCTTGGTCAGCTGCAAAGGAGTCAAATATGATGAAAGATGAGGTAATTGACTTGAGCAATTGCTGTTTCGTTCTATGTGCTGTATCTTGCATTATAAGCACAGGCTACAAATTTTTGGAAGATTATGACAACTATAATCCAGTCCTTAGTTTTCTTATTCTTAATATTTTTCTTATCAGGAGGTCCTCTAGACTCTATTTTTTGGTTCTTCATCCAAACAATACTTATTTTTGTAAAATTTCTTGAGTGAACATTTTTGTAGATGTAATCATTGTTCCACTAACTAATTTTACCAAAAAAATCCTCAAACTATTTTTTCCTCAAAGGTAACTCCTCTAAATTTACCAGATGAGCATTTTATTGTCTCCTTTTGATCTTGGCAGAATAAATTTTCGCCTGCTTCAGGGTAGTCTTTTGTTTTATTTTGTTTTCCCCCTTCTTTCAATCAGTGGTAAAATAAATATGCCATAATCTGTGAACAGTGAAAATAAAGGTCTAACCTACTATTCACCATCTACTTATAGATTAAAATAAATATGCTAGATATGAAGTTTTAAAATCTTTTATTCCATGTGTGAAATAAAGTTGATTGAAACCTTTTATTTAAGATATACATCCTAATAACTGTTAAGATGTAATTTTTCCACATTATTATGTACGTTTTAAAATCTTGCAGGTAAAAGATGTACTCTATCATTTATACAAGACCGCAGTTGGTAATCTTCAGAGACTGGTGCCGAAGGAGATTCGAATTATCAAGCATGTTATTAGAATTGAAGATCCTGAAGAGCTAATGTGTGCCCTCAGAGATGCATTTACCCCTGGAGAAGAACTTGAAGGAACTGATGAGGATACCTTATACACGTATGTATTTTGAATCTAGTAACATGGAATTTTTCTGTAATATAATGCAATCACAAGTTCACAACTTTATGGCATCACTTGTTTTCACTTTATATAGGACTCCTGAGAAGCTTCATACCTGGATAAAAGTTGTGGTAGATGCTTATAATTTGAGTGGAGAAGGAACCCTTATAAGGGAAGCCAGGGATCTGTTGAATCCGAAGGTCATCCAGAAATTGGAGGAGCTGAAGAAGGTAGTGGAAGGCAATTTTATGTGAACAAACCCTTAAGTAGACTTTCCTTAGAGCCCAAAAATTTTCTGTGAATCAAGAGATTTCTGATGTCCATGAACTGCAATACAAACCTTGTTTGGGATTGCATGGTTGCTAGGAAGTGTCTGAAATCTTGTTACTTTTTAGTGACAGAAAAGTTTTAGATTTAGAGTCTGCCAAATTAGGAAACAGGCTAGATAAGTTAATATAATTATGATTTCTTTTATTATTTCAACATGTTTTTGAAAGTCACATTGGGTCCCGATTAATTTGGATCAAGATAAACTGTGGGAGGATAAGGAGGTGACAGGTCAGTAGGATCTCTGTGGGGTAAAGTTTCCAAACTTGATGTATTTTACTGACCGAAGTATTCCTGTAGAGTATATTTTGGTGTTGAATTACGATGTTACGTTGATATTATTTTATTTTTTTATTTAATAACTACACTAGTTTGTTTCTTTCAAGGTTTGGTCAAGTTATAATTGACATGTCTCAAATATTTATGAGGGAGAAAATCTCCCTTCAGGAAGATGTGGAGGAGCCGAAGAAAAATAATATTGTCCTGCAATCCATCGCTTCTCTGGGCTTTGGATGATTATGTCTTATGCTGAATGGAGACGTCTGATTGATAGAGTTGTTTACAGAAAATTAAAAATTGGGTTGTGGTAAGAAATGGAAAATTTAAAGCTTTTTTTGGCTTGAGTACTCACATAGACATCTACAAGGAGAGTATAAAAAGGCTGCAAATTATTTTCAATTTGAGAAATCATGAAAAACTAAGGTTTTTTGTGTGTGTGTGTGTGTTAACCTTAGTTTCCTAACACGACACTCAAGTTTGAGAACTTGCTCAGGTTCTAATTCTAACTATAGATAAGTTTCATTCTCTCCCATCTACTTTAGCAGTAATATGTTTTAAGAATTCAAATTAATCATTTGAAAAGGGCAGTGAAAATTTGGGAAGAAGCTCATGGCTAAGTAACATTGCACATGTTTACATACAAAAAGCAAAATTGTTTGTGATGTGATGCGTTAGACTAACAGTTTTTCGACTAGTGACAAGTTTTGAGGCCCAAGCTTCAAACAATTTTTTTCCAAAGACGAAAGCTTCAAAAACTCATTCTTTTTTTTTGGGTTAAATAAAAAATTCATATTCAGGTTAATGCCTTTTGGATTGATCATTGTAATATTTTTTTTTTTTTGGATAAATGAATGTGGTTTTTCTATTTTTTGTCCACTTGGGGCGGTAAAAAAACTCACGATGCAAATTGACAAATATAAGTATTTCCTGATATGCCAGACTCTTCCACAAGTAGGAGTGAAAACTACGTCTAAAGATTTAGATGTTAAAATTTTGAATCAATGATAAAACAATATAATTAACTTTAAGAATTAAAATGACTACTAAATTGTGTTATTTTGGAAAAGTCATTTCAAAATTATTTGTGCAACTTTCCTAAAATCTGATGATAACTTATTTTTCCTCTTTTTTGAATATACTAATAAGTGTCGAGGGGTTTAAAAATAACTTTGATATTTGAAAATAAGCATGATTTTCAAGATCGGCCAATAGAAATTTCTCAAAGATCAAAATCTTTATATGTAATTTTGCATTAAAAGAATTCATCAAAGTAATATCAAAAATGTACAAGATTGACTTTTCATATGGTAATATAAGATAAACCAGGTCTGCTGTACATATAGAGAGGGAGGGAGGGATGTATAATAGAGCAAGGGAAAAGACGAAATTAAAATATACATTAATTCGTTCTTGGAGAATGATGGCATATCTTGGAATGTATACAGCTTGCAACTGAGAAACCATGCACTATCTGGTTCAACCAAAATATGTTGCTCATCCAAAATAAAGTATTTCAGCTTCTTGATTCTTGCACAACAAATCCAGTCAAGAGTATTGCCTAGTGTACACTGTACAGGGAGGAAGTCAGAATCATAACTGGCCTTGAAAAACAAATTGCTAATTAGACTCCAAAAATGAATAACAAACATGCTGAATGAACACCAGATGACTTACCTTTAATATGACGCAGCAACATAAGATCGTTGAATTCCTTCATAACCAATCACCTGCATCATCAATTATAACAATAGCAACCACACACCTTATTCCACTAGATGTTGTCTGCTATATAAATTCCATGACGCCATTATACTTTGCATTATCAATTATGAACTAAAGAAATTATTTTTTCCCCTTTATGATCTCATAGTTTTTTTTTTTTTTTTAGAGGAGGGTGAGGCAAATGGAGGCTGTTTCTAACATCTTATATAGCTTGTCGTTTGAACATCGTCGGATCCTCTTCATCCCTCAATACACGTAATATGTTGGGTGCTATACATCTGATATGAATCCACTTGATTCATAGAGTTCAATTCAAGTATATTAAAGCTCCTGTTTAAGAATGCAGATAATGAGAAGATAAAGGCTCTATATCGCACTCTATGTCTCCACAGGTGGTAAGAACTGTCGCAAGGATATAATCATCCACCTCAAAACCTTCTGCTTGCATTCTATACATGAGCTTCAAAGCCTCTCTACAGAGTCCATTCCTTGCATAGCCCATGATCATGGCTTTCCAAGAAACCAAATTTCTTTCTGGCATGCTATCAAAAATTTGAAAAGCCTCCGAAATGTATCCACATTTTGCATACATATAGATTAAAGCACTGCTGACAAATACATTGCGCATGGCAGGGGTCTTGCTTGCGTAAGAGTGAATCAATTTTCCTTGATTTAGAGCTTCTAACTTTGCACATGCTTTCAGAGCTGATGAATGAGTAAAGGAATTAGGCGACACACCTTCCTTCATCATTTCCTTTAGGAACTCAAGGGCCTCGGACTCATGCCCTAACCGAGCACATCCAGAAATAATGGCGGTCCACGAGACAACATCTCTGAAAGGCATATGTTGGAGCACCTGAATTGCCTGAGAGTATTCTTTACATTTAGAGTAGAGCCATACCAAAGTACTCCCTATGTACATATTAGAGTGGATATTACTCCTGATTATCTGTCCGTGAACTTCTCTTCCAATTAGCAAATTCTTGATTGAGCCACAGGCCACCAAGACACTAACAATAGTCATTTTGTTAATATATATTCTTCGCCTCTTCATTGACCGAAATAAACTTATGGCCTCTTCACCAAATCCATTTCGAGCACATCCTGATATAATGGATGTCCAAGTAGCTGTATTTCTGATCCTCATTCTATCAAAAACTTGCTTAGAATCTACAATTTCCCCACATTTTGCATACATATCAACTAAGGAAGTCCCTATGAATACATCATTCTTACAAATTTTCTTCACTGAAGCACAATGTAGTTGTCTCCCCATTTTTAATGCTTTTTTATCTCCACAAGCCTTCAGTGCACTACATACAGTATATTCATTAGGAATGAACCCATTGCCTAGCATTTGCGATAATACTGAAAAGGCTTCATGCCCTAACCCTTGCTGGGAACAAGCAGTGATCATAGTTGTCCAACACACCACATCGCGTTCCACCATCCGGTCAAAAATAAGAAATGCACTTGACATGTCACCACATTTTGCATAAAAATGAATAACTGAATTATCAACAATTAAGTTCTTCCATTTGCCTTTCAAAATACTAGCATGTATTTGTTTACCCAGCTGTAAATCTAGTTTCTTACCACACAAATTCATGAGGCAGACAAACATCTTATTGTTTGCTTGAACCCCATGATTGATTGATTCACGAAACAACTCCAAAGCTTCATCATCCATGTTATGATTCAAATACCCATTAATTATAGCAGTCCAGGTAACTGTATTTCTTCTGGACATTCCATCGAATACTTTGCGAGCCAGAGCTAACTTCCCCAATCTCAAATAGGAACACATTAAATTGTTATCAACATAAGTAACAGATTCTGTTAAACATTTTAACAAGACTGTGTGAACCCTCCCAACTTCTTCCATGTTAACACACAACCGAAGCCATCGAGCAACCAAACTTGGATTTAAGCATTGATTTTTTTCAGCCAGATTTTCCATCTTCCTGGAAGCATCATGAAAAGGATAATTGATAATATCCTGAAATTCAGATTCTGCAGCATCTGATGCTTCAATGCATTCACTTGCAGCATCATGAGCTTGGACAATCGACAAGCAAGTGCTCCTAGGTTTTGCCAGATCTTGTCTCAAAAAAGTCAAACGCAAGTTAATGGCAACATAATATGAAATTAAATAAATAAGCAGGTATGAGCTTCCCAATTAAATTTACTCATTTCTTAAAAGATGACATGCATCGCATGATTGATGATTCCTGCTGTCAAGACTGGGGGGGCAAAAATGCTAAGGCCAACAAACAGACCTCTACCCAGCACAATATATTGATGAACTCTTATCTAAATTAATCATCAGTTCCGAAATACTTTCTTGCTGTTACCAATATTACATTATAAGTGCAATAAATCTCATTGAAAGAAGAACAGTTAACAGATATGGTGAATTGACTTTAGGTCAAGGTTTGGTGACTACCCAGCTAAGCCAACGGGATGATACATTTTTGTCTAACCATGGAATGTAAATATTTAAAGTTATACAAATTTGTGATACATTTATTTCTTTGTTTCGAGAGTGTTCACTAATTTTGCACTCTTATAATCCAAAAAAGGGCTACAAGCCAAACGACTTCTAAAGATTGAGCAAATTTAAGTTGAAAAGTACTTAGCTTACCTTTGGTGCTAAAATCCAAAGAAGCAACTCGAACTGTATTGCTTATTGATGCAGCGAGGGAATAAGAAATATCTCCATAAACTTTGATCGTTGGAAACCTTGAAGGGATTGAGCAACATGATTGAATAACCACGGTAGATAACTCCATGAGTTTTAAATTTGCCCTATCAGGTTATGGGTTCACAAACGGCATGTGCAGAGAATCTAGACAACTAGCCTAGTAGCCTATGGCAAAGACAACATAGATTCATATGAGTGAGATAAAATGAATATAGAGATAGAAACGAGAACAAAACCCCCACCAAAATCAAACGCTTCACAAGATGAGTATTGAAAACGAAATATACGAAAAAACTTCAGCAGTAAATGAAATAGTAGGGATGAAAAGAACACGGTTGAAACTGTGCCAAGACGAATTTAATGGCTTTTAAGCGGTGGAAGTACCTGTGCTTGGGTGGCGATTCTGGTTCAATACATTCACAGAGAAAAGTCAAAATTCTTTCACTTGAGAGAAGGCATATCAAAGGAACCCTTCCCGGCAGGCGTTACCATTGTCTGCGCCTACTAATGAATACGACAATCATTTGGAGTGGGATGCAAAAACGGCGATGGAGAAATTCGAAGCTTCACCCTGAGACTGTCGGAGCTATGCAAGAGTGTGCGCGTGGAAGAGAATGGCGAGTCACTCTGTGACATTGATAGCTTTGCTTTTAGGGATTTAGTTCAACTAAGAATTTTGGAGGTTTGAACTTGCCGATTGTAATTCCATTTTTTTCGGAACACAAAGCTCTCTCCCTCCTTTGTTTCCACCACCAGAGGAGGAACGATACAATTTTACAGGGAAGACTCAAGAGTGCTTCAGAGTTGAGTGATCACGACACGAGAATGCGAACCACAAGTGCGAAGCTTCCCAGTTGAAAGGAAGAAGAAAAACCCCAGTCCGTCAGTTGAGAGTTGAGACTTGCCCAGAAACAATGTGGATAATATTCGCCGTTCCCTCCAAAAATCACCTTGTCCGTCTTGGACAAAGATTTTTTTAAAAAAAAAAAATTCATTATAAGATCATTAATATAATTCCTTTCCTAATAATGGTTGTGTAACATAGCAGGGAGTTTTTATTGAAAATTTGATAATAAACATAAAAGATAACACTAAATTTTTATGCAAAGTATCTTCTAACAATAATATAATTGTCGCCTATATATTTTGTTTGAAAAGAAAGGTGATTGCACAAAAAAATATTATAAAAAAAATTCTCAATTAGCCATAAACTATAAAGCATGTTGGTGGGAAAAAAAATAAAAAATGACAATAAATTCCTTTGAATTGCATAAATCACAATCTGGTCCATGGAAATGTTATAGTTTTATTGAAATTCTTAAAGACTTTTCTATTATAAATGAATTTATATAAATATTTAAATTACCTTTATAGCAATATCAAGAATTTAACATGTCTTATTATTGTATTGTTGTGAATAGAAGAAGAAAAATGTAATTATTTAAACAAAACTTATGATCATTTTATTTTTAACATGAGCAATTTGGTTATTTATATAAATTCATTAATGATAAAAAAATTTAAAAATTTTAATAAAATTATGATATTTTGATAAATCAAATTATCACTTATATTATTCAAAAGGGTCACTTATATTATTCAAAAGGAGTTATTGTCATTTCCCAAAAAAAAAAATTCTAACAACATGTCTTCAACTCTTTATTACATCTACAATTTGTAAGTTTTAATAAGGGAGGATACAAGTTAAGTCTTGAAATGTCACACTCCAAATTGCTGAAGTATGATCGGTTAAAATAAAAAAAACTCATATTACACAACTCTAAACCCTTAACACATCTAGAATATTAATTATAATTTTATCATACAATCATCATTTATACTAAACAATTATTAATAGGAATAAAATATTTAAGCTTGTTATAAAAATTTTGATAGAGTTTCTATTGTAAATTGGACTTTTCAAAATCTCAACAACTTGCCAAAAAAATATACAAGCAGCATTCGAAGTTCTACTCTAATACAATATATATGTACATACAAACCAAAATACTTTAAATAATGATTCTATCTATATAATTTATGGAGCGACTATAGAACAAAAACAAAATACTTAAGTATTTTACATTAATTCACAAGGAAACTAGAGCAACAAAATACTTCTTGTCTTAAGGAATCTCATGAGGTCTACTGTAGAGCAAGTCCGCTTCTATTATTTGAATACCAAACTTTTTTCCAGTAAATAATGTCTCCAAATAATGATAATAAATAAAAATGATAATCATAAACATATATAATAGGAATATTAATTTAAACAGTTACAAATAAAATTTTTTATTACAATCTAAAAGTTACATTTGATATTTAAATACTTGGTTACAATTAAAACTCGTATATTAATAATTATTTGAATGTATATTTTTAATTAATTTTTGAAAAAAATTGTCAGGACCTTTGTCATTAATTTAGTGTTCTGGTACCTAACTATCATTTTTTCTTTTAACAAATAATTAATATTATTAGTTATTAGTTTGTTATATTTTAAAGTTGTATTAATTAATGACACCCATAAAGTATGCGTACTTAATGTTATTGATATCTAATTTATTAATACTAGTAAAGGCTAGTTATTGGGAAAAATCATACCTCAGCCTCTAGTTTTTGTTACAATCCATATGTTTTAATTCTTGGGAGAATTACATTAAAATTTTATATAAAAAAATTAATTATTATAAGGTCGATTGACAATTAGACTAAAATAATTAATAACTGATTGTATTATCAATGACATTAATTTAATTATCAATGAACTTTATAGTAATTAATTTATTTACGTGCAGTTGTCAATGATTTTAATTTAATTATCAATAAACTTTATAATAATAATTTTTTTTAGAACCTGTATATAATTCTCCCATTCTTCTTTAAACTGTACACCACGTTTAGAAGCATTGACTCTTGGAGATTTAAAAATCGTTTTGAGGACGATGATGTAGCATAAATAAGCAGTTAGACAACAAACTAGATCCACATTGGCTGAAAACATGAAATGCAAAGTCAAATGCCCATTGAAGTAGAAGCGCATTTAAAAGAAGCTCTTCCCCATCATCCCATTGCAGATCGGCGGAGATTGAGGAATTGGAGAAGGAGAGAGTGTGGTGTCATCATGTAAAGAGGTTCACTCCAATGTTTTCAACCTAAATTGAACATCAAATCGTAAAGAACAATAAGTAATAATTTTTATGGTTCAACTAGTTAAACTAGCAGTCGAACCGGTAACATAAAAATTAAATAAAAAATAATATTTATATACATAAATAAATAAATAAAACATTAATTTGTTAATAATACTTGGGATCTCAAAGCCAAAAGCTAGATGCCTAGACCGCTAAAGTCGGAGGTAGAGGCATGTCAATATAAGCTCACAATCTTGAAGAAAATGCTGGAGTGGGAGGCACGCCATCATGTTAAGATTCACAAGCTTCCAATCTTAGTGCCAAAGGTTGGATTGCTAGAGTTGAAGGCAGATGTTGGAGGAGAAGTCAGAGATTGATCATAGACCATGGAGGAGAAATCAAATATTAGAAAAGAAAAAATAGAAGAGAATTAAAAATTAGAAAAGAAAAATTATAAATCCAAGTGACTTAATCTAAATTTTTTTTTTTTTAAACCGGGTTGGCCAGTTCCGAGTTCCAAGTTAAATTTAATTTTATGAAAACAGCTAGGTCCAATTCAACCCAAAAGATTAATTTGGTTTAATTGGTTGAATTAAACTGTTTTTTACCCTTTTGGTTTTCACAATATTGGTTCATTTGATTTGACTCATTTACGAGGTAGGAAGATGTCAGGGTTCGAGAGAATGATTGCTTCGATTTCACTTCATGGCTTTGCCTTTAATCCTCTTGGATTTTCTTTTGCCTTTAGTCGTCCAGCATAGTTGTTCTTTGTTGTTCGATTTCCTTTCACTGTAATACCTTTAAGCCTCTTTGATTTTAAGTTGTGCTGTGATTTGGTGATGAAAGAGGCCAGGTTTTGTATTTTTTTTTTTTTTTGTATTTGCTTAATGAACTAGCTTAGTGGCAGACTTTGGGGAAGATTAATCAATTGAAGGAAGAGAATGGCCGATACCTTGATGTGAAACAGAGAAGGGGGAGAGGGGAAGAGAGAGAAAGTGAGAGAGGAGGTAAGAAAAACAACAACTACGGCCTGTTTGGAAATCTATTCTGGAACAGTTTTTTGTTCTCCAGAATAAAAAAATAAAAAAATTCATTTGCTAACGTGTTTTTAAAAATTGTTTTAGAAAAAAAAATATTGTTTTGAAGAACAAAAAAATAAAAACAACTTTTAAGTGTTATGTGATTATTATTTTAGAGAACAAAAGAAAATGAAAAAAATACCTATTATTACTATTTTTTTGTTCTCAGAACATGTTCTACAAAAAACCAGTTCTCAAAATAATAAAATAAAAATAATTTCAAACAGCCTTTACAACTCTTGCCAAGGGTGAGCATAAGTTGGTTTGGTCGGATTGATCAACCAAACAACACTTAAAATTTAAACCAAATTAAATCAAATTAGATGATCAAGTCAAATTAGTATCGAATCAAATTTTAACGATTTGATTTCACTATATTTTTATCCACTGTACTTCATATATATATATATATATATATATATAAACTAATTAAAGCATCTATATATATAAAAGTGGGATTTGGACTATATGGACCTCCAACTGGACCTCCCTTTCCCGCTATAAACTATGGCCTGTATTCTTACAATGATAAAGGCATATTACACACACAAAAATATGTGCTTATAAATAAATTGCAAAGGACTAACAAATTTGAAAATACTTGGTAGGCATAAGTTTGATAAGACTATAATTATGCACTTTTTTTAGGGTTTCAAACATAACTTATAGATTTACCTTTTCAAAGTATTATAAATAAAATAAAATAAACTATATATACAATTATAAGTTTTTTTTGATCGATATACATACTTACATATATATATGATAATTCAATCAGTTCGGTGTATTTAATTTTAAAATTTGCAAACTAAATTAAATTGATAAATCAAAAATTTCTAAAATAAAAAACTGAGCAAATCAAATAGATCAAACTTGATTTGATTCCATTCAATTTTTAGTTTCGGTTTACTTTTACTAACTCTTATTATTCAATATTTAAATCTTTTTTTAATATAATTGAGAAACCCTGGGACAATTTATAACGTCTTAGAAATATTTAAATAAAATCTACAATAATCATAAGAAGATACTAATAAACAAAATCTAATTAATTCCTAAATAATCTAATAGATATTTTAAATATCCTTACTTAAATTATCATAATAAAATAATCCTAAATCACTAAAATAAAATTAATTCCTTCTCATCATATTCCATTATTTTTCTCTCACTTGAAGAAATCCCCTTTGGAGAGTTAAATTGGGGGCGCAGATGGTAGCAATTTGAATCCCTTAAATATCATTTTAGGATTCAATTTTCTAAAGGTGTGTATGAAAAAGTATTGATGAGGAGAAGACAATCCCTTAAATGATACTCAAATTTTTTGAGGGATTAGTCTCACAATTGTTAGCTACAGAGATGTCTCGGATAAAATAAGAAATTGGAGGCACAAATAAGGAGGGCCAAAAGGAATTTTTGCATGGGACATTAATATGGAGCTTTTGACATGTCTTGGTGAGTGCAAGGCATATAGTGCATGGGGCCCACATGCCAGAACTTCAAATGTGTGTTATGCATGTTGCACATGAATCCCACGTGCAGGAGACAGTAGCACATAGAGCATGTTAGGTGATAGTTGATGATGAAACTTAGTAGTTTAGGTAGAATTGAGGAATTGAAAGTAATGGTGATTGTGTGGTGGCTGGCATCTGGATGGTTGCAAACAAATTATGGCGGTGATATTGATGGGTGGAGTTTCTTTAGGCCTTGTTTGGTTTTGAGATTTTAATGGATCTCAAATGAGGAAAACAACACAAGGAAAGGAGGTGAAAACTTGGCTCTAATACTAATTAATATGAAATGGGAATGGGTAGAGGGGAAGAGAGAGAGAGAAAGGAGAAGAGAAAGAAAAAGAGAGAGGTAACTGAGAAAACAGGAAAAGATGCAAGAGAAAGCTAACAATTTTGCTGCAATAATCTAATTAGGCTTTTTTAGTAGACAAATTAAAATACCTAGGAACTAGCCCGAATCCTTTCCTCATCCCTTTTCTCCTTTTTTTCTCATCATCCTCATCTCATCTCCACCCTTAAATAGTAGAATGAATGGTTCAAGTTTTTTTATTTTATAAAATAATTATCATATTATTATATAAAAATAAACATAAATTTAAATTGTTAAAATTTAACCTGCACAATTTATAGTTGTATACTGTTATTAATTTTTTTATAAATTAAACTTTTTTATTTATTTTATTGCAGTTTTAAACTATGTGGATTAAATTGTAATGGTTATTTATTTATTTTTAATATAATATTATGATGATTGTTTTATAAAATAATTGAATCTGAACTGTTATTTTTTTTAGGGTTAAGGTATAATTTTGCCTTTAAACTATTCTTGGAGAAGTAATATTGCCCCCATCATTTAAACGTCTGTTACTATAGCTAGTAGGACTCACTTTTCATTAGTCAAGGTACAATTTTATTTCTAAATTATTCTCAGATGAGCAATGTTACCCTCACTATTTAAAAATTATAAAATTAAATAAAAATTAAATTATAATAATATTAAATATATATATATATATATATAATGAATATAAGAAAAATATAAATTATAATTTTATAACTTGTCAAATATAAGTGGATCTTAGTTAAATTAGATATGAGCAGATTTAAAAGTATCTACATTTGTACCTATACTATCGACATCTTTATAAAAAATAGTCTCAAATCATATTTTATATATGTGAATTATTTAAAAATAAAATTAACTTTTAGTAGGATCTAATTTTTAAATTTTTTATTTTTTAAAAATTTTTTAAGCTTTTTTATAATATTATATTTAAAATCGTTCAGTTTTTTGAAAATTATTTCAGTTCCCAATTCAACTTCAGTTTTTAGTTTAATAGCAACTTAACTCTTTCCCAATCTAGCTTAATTATGAAAATAATTTTTTGGTTCAAATCAAGTCGTTAATAATGGCTCCGGTCAATAGTTATATGTGTAAATGTATATACTTTTAAGTTTATTCATATCTAATTTAATTAAGATCTATTTATATTTGATAAGTTATAAAATCATAATTTATAATATTATTAATTTATGACATTTTATTAACATACTAGAAATTTTTTTCTTATATTTATTTTATATATACATTTAATATTATTTTATTTAATTTTATTATAATATAATTTTATATTATTTTATTTAATCTAAAACAAGCTTCCAAACAATAGAATCAAAAGTTGTCTGTGTCATTGTTAGAGGGAGGTTTTAGACAAAGTAGGCATGACTATTTTTTATTCACTAAAAATGTTGATGATGGTATAGTTCTTGTATTGATTTATGTTGATGATTTATTGGTATGTAGTTCCCAAAAGGGTGTTCAGAAATTTGAAGCTTTTCTTAATAGCAAGTTCAAAATAAAGGACTTGGGTATGTTAAAATAATTTTCAGGCATTGAGATAGCTAGATCTATGAAGGGAATGGTTATGAGTCAGAGGAAAATACACATTGGATTTGTTATCTGACACATGGATGATTGGTTGCAAGCCAATCACAATTCTGATGCCATAAAATTTGAAGTTTGTGGTGTATGAAGAAAGGAAGCACAAACAAGAATAATTGTTGAAAGACCCTAGAGAATATAGAAGATTGACAAGGACATTGATATATCTAACAATGACCAGGCCTAGTCAATTTATGCAAACACCCACCAGAAGTCACATGACATGGAAGAGGAAACACAGATCTCATGTGTTATTCTGATTTGAATTGGGCCTCGTGCAACACTACAAGAAGCTCAATTGTTGGTTATCTGTTAAATCTTGGAGATGGACCATTTTCATGGAAGACTAAGATGCAAAACACGCGGTCTCCAAATCTTCTACTACAGCCAAGCATAGATCCTTAAGTATGGCTGTGTTTGAAGCTGTGTGGTGACCATTGATCTACTCAAGGATCTGAATGTAAGTCATACAAGGCAGTAAAAGTTTACTATGAAAGCAAAGTAGCAATACACATCGCTACTTATCTAGTCTTTCACTAGAGGACAAAGCATATCAAAAATAATTGCCACTTTATTAGGAAGAAATTATGGGAAATAGATTATAAGCTTGCAACATGTTCATTCTGAGATCAAGAAGATGACATCTTCACCAAAGCATTAAGGGGAAAAGCACATGAGGAATTTCTTGCCAAGTTGGGTACCATAAATTTATATGGTTCCCACTTGAAGGGGGAGTGTAGAACATAGGGTGTAAATGTCATTTGCATAGTTTCTATAGTTTAGTGTTGTTTGTATTGTTAATATCTCTTGTATAAGCTGAGCATACCGTTTTGTTATAATATAATTAATTACTTATTGACAGTCCAGTTGTAGAGTGTAGACATTTATTCATTCAATATACTTTAGTTGGGTTTATTTTTGAATCAATGAAAATATTTTGTAGAATTTATGTGCAGGACACTCAACAAATTCTAACAATTAAAGTATTGTGCTAATTAACAAATATTTCCCAATCTTGCAAATAGGGCATGAGATATCTTAAATATTTTGATTATGTGATATCTAATTTGTACACGTGATTAGATATTAGATACATGGTTTTGTTTAAGACAATTTACTTATGTTTTATCATCTCTTATATATTTTTATTTTGGATGAAAATATAAAAATAACACAATTTGTTCAATATTAATCTTGGTGAAGATGATGAAGATATTGATAGTGTTGCATTAGCAAGCCTAGCACTTGAACTTTCTTCAACTCAAGATTTAAGTTTAAATATTTTGCTTATTGATTATTATTAGACTTTTAGTGACATTTTAGAACATTTGTGTGACGTTTTATTTTTATTTAAACTTTAAGTGATAAAATTTGAATTTGAATTTTGTTGAATATTTCAGAATTAAATTGGATTTAAAAAAAAAATAAAAGAGCTTGAGAGCAAGATATTGAGCTTTTATAATTCAGATCATACTTTGAAAAAAATTATATTTTAAGGGAGCAAAAACTTTTGGACTCAAGCCCTTTCGAGCTTAAAGCCATAAACATTTTGTTGCTCTATTCTATCCTTTTATTTCATTTTGAAAATATATGTAAATTCTTACCATCATAGGCTATAAAAGTAGTAAAACATTACACACACAAGACTTTTTTGTTGTTGTTAAATTATATGATTTTTTTGAATCAAAATACTTATTATGATAATTGTCTCAAGGAAAATATAATTTTTAAATAATTGAAATTAACTATTTAAATATAAAAATTTAAATTTTTTTACTTCTAAATCGTTAACTCTACTTACCAAAAAAAAAAAGGTTCTAAAACGTGGTTAATTCATTTTGTCCGAAAAGAGTAAGAAATAACAAAGCAATGAAAAATGTGAATTATGGTCGAGCCCAAGTTGGTTAGAATGAAGGCCCACTTGACTCGATAATAAGCCAACAAGCCCACTAAGAGCAATGGTTTCTTCAAGCCAATATATGCATACAAACCAGCTAGGGTTTCATCACTTCGAGCGAGGAGGCAGAGGGAGAAGAAGACGTCAGTCACAGAAGGCAGAAATTCCTGAAAATGGTGAAGTTCTTGAAGCCGAACAAGGCCGTTATTGTCCTTCAAGGACGCTATGCCGGTCGCAAAGCTGTAATCGTACGTACCTTCGATGACGGCACGCGTGACCGCGCGTACGGCCACTGTTTGGTCGCCGGAATCAAGAAGTATCCGAGTAAGGTCATCAGGAAGGATTCTGCCAAGAAGACGGCGAAGAAATCTAGGGTTAAGGCTTTCGTCAAGCTCGTGAACTACCAGCATCTCATGCCCACGCGTTACACCCTAGATGTGGATCTTAAGGACGTAGTGACCATCGATGCCCTTCAATCGAAGGACAAGAAGGTCACTGCCTTGAAGGAGACTAAGAAGAGGTTCGAGGAGAGGTTCAAGACCGGCAAGAACAGGTGGTTCTTTACCAAGCTTAGGTTCTGAGTTTTTTCCTCCGGGAACAACGACGTTGTTTCATACTATATTTCTGTACTAGTCTTGTTAAGGGAATTTTGGATAGATATTATATTGTTATCGTTTACCGAATTATTCTTGGGTCTGTTGAGCTATGTGCTACTTTCTTTAGTTGAATTGCTAATCATGTCATTTCCAAACACGCATGTCTATTTCACCGTTTTGATGATTTGGTGAGTATTCCTAAGTTATTAGCATTTACTTATTTGATGTTTTTTCGTGAGGAAATGATTGTGCTTAGACATGCTTAAATAAATTTGATTTGGCTATCTAATTATCTTTGAGGTATTAGAACGCATTTGGTATTTTTGGCATGATTATAAGCTTTATTCGTATTAAATCAGCATTCTTATTCTGGGTGAAGTGCTTTTTTTTTCTTGTTTTTTTGTTCTCTTGCATATTTGTCTTGTCGCTGGAAAATATGGGTCATTGTCCAGTGTTTTGTGAACTATTCTTGAATCTGTTTGGATTATATATGCTGCATCCATAATTCAAAATGCCAGCTTAATCTCTAATCCAGCTGATGATTATTTAATCCTTTATTTTTGTTTTTTTTTAATTGGAGAGAGTTGAATTCGAAAGTCTTGAAGCCTAATTTAGCTAATGCAAACAAATAGAATTATATAGCTGTTTTTACATTTTTCCCCCTTTTGAAACAATTTAGAATCTGAACAGAGTATTTCCTGTCATTTGTCTTAGGATTTTTAGCGCCTCATTTTCTCATTTTCAATATGTTAATGCTTTTTTGTTTACTGCAAGTCTTGTTTGTTGTGAGTTTTTTCTAATTACTTCAAAGCTCGAAAATCTGGTATCTTTCCTGTGGATTTGACTCAATTTAAATAATCAACCTTACTAGTCCCCATAGGAATTTTGTTCGTGCTAAATTTCATTTTTCTCCCATTACCTTGTGTGAGTTTGTTTTATTTTGTGATGCACGCATTTTCATTAGTCAGAGTGCATTAAATTTAGGACCATTGTTTCTAAGCCCCAAACAGTGTAATAGAGGACTTCCAGGGAAAGCTGTTTCTGACTCCACTTATCGGAGTGGCCCTAATATGGTTGGGTTTCCCTTGATTCATCACGATATGCTTTAAGCTTGCATCGATTACATTATCCTCATGGAACTTGCAAGATACTCACAGTTTTTACTTCTTGATGAATGCAGCATAGATTAATGTAAATGGTAGTGTTGTGCACTTTGGATGATTTAAATTATAGAATCCAAGGGCTGATAAAGCTTGTGTGATGTCTCAAACTATCACCATGAATCTGTAATGTCATGTTGAACTGTTATATTCTGTTATTTGTTACTGTAGGAATTCATCGTTTGTCATTCAGTCGCGTGTGGCTGTTCTTTTCATAAATAATTTGTTTGCATTTCTCTGTGATCTCTAAGATGCGTGCATTCTTCTTCATTCATGTGAGGTTTCAGTTTTGATTGGAATTGGTAATCTTGTGACTCTTATTTTTTGGATGTTGCATCTGTGATGGATGAGAATATTACATCATTTGGGATTATTCGTGACTGATAATTTCTGATCTTCTGTTTTTGGGTGGTTGATATGTTTGTGGTAGATGTGCCTGAGATTTTGATTGTGGGAATGCCTTCTGATCTGCAACGGTGCTTTGTAATTTCTTCGCTTTCTTATGTCTTGAAGTTGTCTTCTTTTTTAAAAATAAATAAATAAATAAATCCCCCCAAATAAACTTGTAGCGAGCTGAATTGACTAGAAAACCATTGGTCTAAATACTTTGAAAATAATGGGTGGCTATATTTTTTATTCCCTTTTTATTTTTTATTTTTATTTGAGCTCTGGAATTCCAAGTTTTTGTCCTGAACTAATCTCTGATTGGTAATTAACGGCATCTCTTTAAAGGGTATATTTTTTACTCTGAATTTAAGCTTTACTACATATTCCAGTTTAAACTTGGGACTTTTTTAATTACTTGATTCGGGTGCTCGGTGGTTTAATTTTTTTACTTACTAAATATTGCATATTTATGTTAGCGGTGATATTAATTTGAGCAAGACTAGAGTTCAGTTGACATCTCCTGAATTATTTTTCCTTCCACGTTCTTTGCCGTTCTCCTCTTCCTTTGCTAGGTAGCTTTAAACCAAACGCTTTTCATGAGCACTTACCCACTAATCATTTTTTCCCCCAGTCAACGGGTTTATAAAAAAAGTTTGAATCGCAATTTCATTTACCAGGAGCATCTACAAAGAAAGAGCATGATGAACGGTGGCGAATAGCTGATAATGTAGTTTTTAAAGCCACGAACTTAGTTTCTAATATTATGATTGGAGCTGGAAAATAACTTTTAAGATCATGCTAAAGCGAAGGAAAATGCAGGCGAGCTACATTAGTTGGTGGTTTAAATTTAAACAAGTTAGAAATTAATTAATACTCTTTTCAAGTCACAACATCAATTATTACTAATTTACGTCTTTTTTAAAAGAAGTTAAGTTAAAATCTTAATTTTTTTAAATTTTTTTACATCATTTTAATATCATTAAAAATTAATTATTCAATAGAGTAAGAGTATAATTGAAAAAATATATATATATATATATATATAACACTTAAAGTTTATATTTTGCATTCGGTAAAGATTCCGAAAAATGACTTGTGTTTCTTTCTTTGTTTTTGTTTTTTGTTTTTTTGGATAAAGAATGACGTGTTTCAAGGAGAGCAAATTTAAGAATTGCTTAAACCCTAATGGGCTCAAGGTCGATTGTAAGGCCATCAAGGGTAGACTAAGCCCAGCATCATCAAAGCAAGAAAATCTAACTACTTCCTTCCATCACTATAAGTAACTTAAGATATGTCCGTCCATCAAAACTCAAAGCCACTTCCAAGTTCCAATTCTCTATTCCAATCTCTGAGGGGAAAAAGTCAAATCTTCAGCGTTTGGTTTAAATATCTGATTGCATTCTAATATATGTGTATATATATAGAAACATGTTGTAAAACACAATGTACTTGTGCTTCAGCGTAGTATAGCTACTATAAGGCTCAATTTATGCCTATGTTTCCGGGAGGTGGCTGTTATTTGAGACAAGGAGATTATCTCCTTGTATTTTCATTCTGAAGGCTCAAGTTTTGATTTGTATTATTATTGTCAAGCTTCCGGACAATCTGCTGACCTTAGCAAAATAAAACTTATTTATATATGGACCTCATTAAGGCTACTATTCTTTTGACTTGTATGATTACTGTCAAGCTTCCATAATAGCAAAATAAAACTTATTTTATATAAGTTAAAGTATACATTTAGTCCTTTAACTTTACACAATATTTTATTTTAATTTCTTAACTTTATAAAGTGTCTTTTTAATCCTTAAACTCTAACAATGTTAGTTTTATCCTAATAAATTTTTATATTAAATTTTTAAATATTGACAAAACATTTTGAAATATTGACATATTGAATTTAATTTTTTTTAAATAACAATGACTAACAGAAAAAATAATCATTTAAAAGTAACAATATTAGGGTTAAATGACTAAAACATAATTTACAAAATTAAAGGATTAAATTAAAATTTTATATAAAGTTAAAGGACTAAAAATATAATTTAGCCTTTTATATATGGAGCTAATTAAGCCTACTATTCTTCCTGGGCCAAGAAAAAATTTATTATTGTTTTAATTTAGAGTTAATGGGAAAATTTACTCCTAAATTATAATGGTTTAGAAATATCCCGTGTCATGAACTCATTTTGATATATATTCTTCAAATAAAAAATAGAAGTCTGTAAATAATAATCAAAATCCAATTATTTTCAATGAAATATTTGATCATCTGTGGTGCATAAGTTAACAGAAGAAATTGCATAACAAAAAGTCTACAAGTAACAACTTGCTTTCATTGAATTAACATAAAAATATATATGTCAGACCTAGATAATTTCATGCTGATATTGATGAAACAAGCACTTCTAGGACAAAAAAGGTGAGAAAGAAATCTTCTTCAGAACACGAATTGTTAATTGATATTTAATTCGAATAATTAGAGCTTAGAAATGATGATTAAAATCTATGTATAGATTTAATCTTCTAAAGTTGTAAATCAAAGTGGTGAGGGTTAGATGATAGGGAGTGAGTTGAATGCAGGTCGCTGGAGCAAGACGATATAAGAGAGAGAGAGAGAGAGAGAGAGAGAGAGAGAGAGTTCATTGATGTCGCTGCTCTTGTTTTCGTACGATCATCGTCCATTTATCGGCGCCGCCGCAACTCGTTTTCTTCTTTCGTCCTCTACGAGGAAAAATTAATTTGGTAGTCATTTAATTAAAAACTTACTTATAATTTATTGTTTTAATTATAACTTATTGCGACTCAATCTCTTAACTTTTAACTTATTTATGACTTAATTCCTCAACTTTTGACTCGTCCATAATTTAATCTCTCAAATTTTGTTAGCTCTCTTTTTTCATATTAACTTAGATCCCACATCAAATAACAAGAGGAGGATATTTTAAAATAAAATATGAGTATTTCTTTTATCCCTCTTACTTGATAAGGATAATTTAAAAAAATAAAAAATAAGGATCGAATTATAAATGAATCAAAAATTGAGGGACTGAATTGTTATAAGTCATAATTAAGTGATTGAATTACAAGTAAGTTAAAAATTAAAAAATTTAAAGATTAATTTTTTTATTTATAAATCTAAGAGTTGAAATTATTCCCAAAATTAAATTAAATTTTTTATATATAAATTAAACTAAGATAATAATAAATATTTCCTCCAGTCCAAAATAGAAGTAGTTTTTTTTTTTTTAAAAAAAATTGCATATCAATGAAGTCATAATTCTCATAAAAATATATATTATTTTCTCTTTTTACCTCTAACTAATTTCAATTAACAATATATTATATATTTATACAAATATCTAGATTAATAAATTCAAGGGATAGAATGAGAAAATTTGTCTTCATGTACTATAATAGCTAACCAATATTACATGAGAAAAAATGTTTATATTTTAAATTAAAATTATAGAATCTAAATAACCAACTAGGCACTTTATAAATCACATGGGGGGGGGGGTGAAATTTGCTCCCACGTGAATTAGGCCAACTCATAGACAACATTTTGGTTTCCATAAATTGGCATCACCTTGACGACACAACCATCT